AAGAGTGAGCATTCCCTAGTAGCTCAGCCACCCTGCCTGGTCTGTATCCCTCCACATCATGTCCCACCAGCTAGAGTGGCCTCTTTCCTCTCCAGGCTTCTCTCTCCTTTCCCAGGCAGCTGAGCACCTGCATGCCCAGACCTGTGCATATTTTAACTCTCTCTTGTACTCCACTAAAGGCCCAATGCACAAAGATTCGTGCAAGTATGGGCCTTCCTTCCCCTGGCTGCTGGCACTGCTTTTGCTCTGGCCTGGAGCTGCCTTTCTGCTTTCCAATGCTGCCCAGAGGCCCAGAGCAGCCGGAGCAGTGTGGGATGCCTGCATCATCATCATGGTGATGATGCAAGTGTCCTGCCCAGCCCCTGGCAGCTTGCAGCCTATGTATGCAAATTAACCTGTCATCTTTGTTGGATTAATTTGTATCACTTCTGATTGGCTGATGGGTGTCATGAAAGTACAGTCAATTTGCATCTTACTCTTTTATTAGTGTAAATTATACACTCCTAGCACCATAAACCACGCCTTATGTATATAGTAGGTGATCAAAAAATGTCTGGGGATTCATGAAGGGATCAACAGAGCAATTTAATTCTATTTAAACTATAGATTGACACAAGATTTTTTAAAAATTAAATTAACAGTTAATTAACAGTTAATTTGCTTTTCACCCTAGCCGGTTTGGCTCAATGGATAGAGTTTCAGCATTCGAACTGAAGGGTTCTGGGTTAGACTCTGGTCAAGGGCACATGCCTGGTTGTAAGCTCGATTCCCAGTAAGGAGCGTGCAGGAGGCAGCCGATCAAGATCAATGATTCTCATCAGTGATGTTTCTGTCTTTCCCTCTCCCTCCCTCTCTGAAATCAATAAAAATAAAAATAGTGTGGCACCCCAATTACAGATTGCTACCCTAGATACACAAAAACAATGGACAGGGCTTACTTAAGGCAAATATAAACTTTGATCTAATAATCAAATCGACACGTGACAGATGAGCAGCAGAAAAACAAACTGAAGTTTAATAGCATGTGTACTTCCTCTGTACATGGGAGGGACTGAGTAACTCACCAAAATTACCAAGGCCACCACCTTAAATACCATCCTCAGTAACGACCAATAGCAGATGCCGGGAGAGGGGAGCCAGTGGTGGGAGGTTATCCGGAAAAGCCCAGTAAATAAGAGTATAGTTGCTATGCAGATTTAAGTCCTTGCTTACTCCATTGATAAGAGTTTCTGGATATGTCATCTCCCTCTTCCTGGTACAGGGCTGAAAACACCCTGAAGTTATATGTCTGGAACATGACTACCCACTGGCTCTGTCCAATTATGATGGGATCACCGTATAAGCTTACTTGCTGTAGAACCCTTTTCATCCTCAAACATATACTTAAACCAAAAGCCATTATATGGGGATATTTCTTAAAAGCTAGAATGCATGGGTCTGGGTATAAGGCATGGGAATGGGGGTAGATCTCATCTCATCATCACTCCTCCTGACCCACCTGGGGACTGGGCACGTGACTCACAACGCTAGGCTCTGCTGACCTAGAAGTACGGGTCCAGAGAGCAGTTTGGGATGGGATGCTTCCCATCAGGGACACGGCAAGGGTTTGCAACTGAACCTACGGTGGTGGCTGCCATCTGGACATTTTGGATTCCTGCTACCAAAGGACAAATGGGCCCGCAAAAAACTGTTACTATACTGGGAAGGGTAATGGGACCTGATTATCATGAAGAGATAAGGTTGCTGCTAGTAACAGAGTCAGGAAAGCGTGTCTGAAATGTAATGGCTCTACTTAGTTACTCTCAGTAATAGTCAATAAACTACAACCAGTTATCACATTGATAAGGAAAAACTCAGCATTATGATGCTGGATTGACATAGAATTTTTAAGATACCTAGAAAAAAATTAGTTTCTAAATTCAGTTGAAATATATATAAAAAAAACTTAATTGTTTTATTATTTTTCAGTATCCTTTATCGTATAGAATAAGATTTTAATTAGAAAATAATGGATAATGCACAATCAAAGAGTTAAAGTTGTATATACAAAGTCCACTTTTTAAAAAATTTTTTTAACACTGAAATTTGTTTGAAAAACTGCTGTGTGTAATAAAACCTCAACTGAAAACTGAGAAGGTTGTCCCACTCGGAATTACTCTCCTCATAAAACGGTAACATTATTTTTCTTTTCCTTCTCACCCTGACAAACGTCCTTTGTCTTGAGGAAAGAGATGGCAGGTAGGTGAAAAGGAAAAAACAACAACAAAGGATGAGAAGAGCAGTTTCCTCAATATAATCCTCTCAGGAGATTTTTCATTTTATTAAAATTATTAAATATAATTTTTTGCCGGGACCGGTTTGGCTCAATGGATAGAGCGTCTGCTTGGGGACTGAAGGGACCCGGGTTCGATTCAGGTCAAGGGCATGTACCTTGGTTGCGGGCATGTCCCCGGTGGGGGGTGTGCAAGAGGCAGCTGATTGATGACTCTCTCTCATCAATGTTTCTGACTCTCTATCTCTCTCCCCTCCTCTCTGTACAAAATCAATAAAAAATTATTAAATATAATTTTTATTGATTTCAGAGAGGGAGAAACACCAATGATGAGAATCATGAGAAACCACTACTATATATTATTTATATTTTATTTCTTTTATAATTTTAGTCTCACACAGTGCCTACTTAGAAGAGACAATAAGAAGAAATTATCAGGAGAAATTCAATTCAGAAATAACAATGGTATATTTGTTATTCATTTATGCTTACAGAACTTCAGAGGTTCCACAACCATTGAGTCATCAAATCTTAGTAACCCCGTGAGTGCAGTTGGTTGTTATCATTGTAACTTACTGTAATTCAGACAGATCGAATTTCTCCTGGAGTGCTGAGTGGCTCTTGCAGAAAGTGTTGGCTTTTCAATATCCTGCACCTGAGAATCACATTTCACGTTTATAAAATTAGCTCATTTCCCCTAGGATTGTCTCTTGTGAGTTTACCAGCCATCACCCACTCCAGATAGCATAGCTAAAATAGTGCTCACCCAGCTTTTAGAAATCCCTCAAGTTCAAAGGCCATTTTGTTTCCTTCAAGAGATATGGAGAAGATGCAAAATGCTTGAGGGAATAAAAAGTGGTTAGTGGATGGTTTGCTTTCCAACACTGTCAAACAATGCTACAATTCTCAAAGGACACTGCCTAGGTATGCTACAGATTTAACTCACTTGTGACATTATCTACTTAGAGATAGCATCAGATTCCACAGGTTAATGGCAGTTTAGGGGCTCAGTCCCACGAGGCTGCCCCTGCTTCAGACACCAATTGCAAGTCCAGGTTGTCACCTGAATTTCTGACCCACTGGCTAAAATCTGTCGTTTCCATGACCTCTTCCTTGGAATGGCTCACAGAGCTCATTTACTTAGAGTTACCAGGGTATTACAGAGGCTATCATAAAGGACACAGATGGATATAGGGCCACAGGGTCCTGAGCATCTGTGCTCATGGAACTGAGTTTTACTACCTCCCAGCATCTGGATACATTCATCCACCTGGAAGCTGAGTCCTTTTTTGTGTTTGTTTACTTATTTACTATAGGCTCTGCACACAAATTTGTGCACAGGTGAGATCCCTTGGCCTGGCTGGTGATCAGGCTGATGGGGGCCCTCCAACTGGGGCCCATCCCAACCACCATGCTCCAGGCATGACCACCCCCCTCACCCAGTTGTGAGAGGCTGAACCCTAGCAGCAAGCTAACTTACCAATTGGAGAGTTTGCCCCCTGGTGGTCAGTGCACATCATAGTGACTGATCAATCAGACACTTAACATATTACGCTTTTATTATATAGGATTTTTATGGAGGTTTCATTACTTAGGCATGATTGATCGAATCATTCACCACTGGTGATTAAACTAATTGTGAGTTGGAAATAGATTATTTTCAGTTTTTTATTTTATTTTCTAGTATATGCATTTTAAGATATAATTTTTTCCTCCCACTTTGGATATATTGGAAACATTTAAAAATATAATGCTCTCAGTTCAGTTTTAAGTACTTTCAATTTTATTTTCTATTTGCCTTATGTCTTTATATTATAACCCTCACCCTGGGATATTTTCCCATTGATTTTCAGGGAGTGAAAGAGGGAAGGAAAGACAGAGAGAAATATCCATGTGAGAGAAATACATTGATTGGTTGCCTCCTACACAGGCTCCAACCAGAGCCCGGTCCAGGGAGAAGCCTGCAACCATGGTACAGACTCTTAATCTGGAATCAACCTGAGACCCTTTGGTCTGCAGGCCGATGCTCTATTTGCTCGGCTAGGACTACACCTTTTAATTTTCCAAATACACACACACACACACACACACACACAAAACCAAAAAACAAAACAAAAACACACACACACCCTCATGAACTTGCTAATGATTCTTTTCTCCCTTGATTAATTGGCTAGGTAGAGCACACCCAGGTAATCTCATTTTCCCCATAATTACCAGTGTGTGTGTGTGTGTGTGTGTGTGTGTGTGTATAATGTCACAACTTCAGAGCATACAATTTTTTAAACCATAATTAAAACACTAACTCCAAGCTGATACTATGTTTTTCAGTTTAAAACAAAAAGTTTTGAGTTAAATTTTTTTTTTTTTTTTTTGTGATTGGGAAATTTTTTTAAAAGTACATTGAGGGTAGGGAGAAATGTTAGCAAATATTTTCGTATGTTTGCAGGGAGAGAGGGGTAGAACACTGCAGCTGGGCATTGAAAGAAATAAGATTAGATTAAAAATACAGCCTAATTTCAAGTATGAGACAGACTCCAAAGATATTGATGAACAGATAGAATTCAGCAATGAATCAGAATCTCTAAGGGGATAAAGAAAAAATAAATCAAAGATGTTATGAACGTAGAATTTGAGTAAAGGTTGTAAATAGAACTTTAAGCTAAAGGGCTTTCAATATCTAAACTGATTTATTTATGTAAAGGTAATTTCAAAAGCATAACGAACATACTTGACTAATACAACTTTTATTTTTTCATGCTAAAATTGTTACAAATTTTATTATAACAGTTACAAGAGTTAACAGTTACAAGTGAGTTAAAAATAATAGTATTTGGGGGGCACTTCACATTTTACTATCATAAGCATGTTTTGTTACATGAACAGCAACAATAGTTAACTGCTGGACTTGAAATTTAAGTAAGTGTATAATGGGGGCTAATGTATAATACAAAAAGTACCCTATACACAGTCTCATAACTATATTACTCTTTATTCCATAATTAGAATCATGGGTTAGAATCTACCCAGTAATGCCATCATTCAAATATTTGACTAAGGAGGTCAAGTCAGCAAGCATTTCAAATTATTTTAAAAAATCTCATGTAATTTAGTTCTACAAAAAAATGTAAGACAAAACACACAAGATGTGGCTTGCTGATATCTCATGCCTAAAACAAACCATTACATAATGAACTTATGCATGTTTTGCAAGTTGGCATATATGCTCCATGTCACACAGTAATTTTAAGATGAATCACCCAACTACAGCTGATGCTGCAGCTCCCAGACTTCCAGTTTCTAAAGTTCTGGGGGAAGTGAAACAGTTTACACTGTAACAGTCTACATGGTAGTAATATTACCTCTTGGCCATTGGCTCAATACTAATCCCTTTTGTGTTTTGTTTTTTAGTATACAAAATATGCCGAACGCATTTAAACACATTTCATTTAATGTAATTAAACAGAAGGCAACAATTTCCTTCTAGAAGAATTAGATTTAGCTATGAAAAACTTGACATTTGTTATATGAATTTATGAAATATTTTTTGGATCAATACAGACCATACTATATTTGTAAACTTACAGCCTGTGCTAAACACATGTAAAATGAACTGCAAACATAACCAATTATATTATTAGTTTTTAAAAAATTAAAATTACCATTTCCCCCCAGTAGTAACTTTTATGAACATATTATTTGCTTTCTTCCAAATAAAGGATAATTTAAAAAATCCACTGTGAAATTTACATTCTGACTAAACACAAAAATACACAAATATTAGTTCTAATTAGAAATTTCAGTTGACAAATGAAAATGTTTATTTTGAAAATAAGACGATCTGGGATATAGAAGTGAAATTTTTGTTTCAAGAACATTGTAAATATATTGTTTTCATGTAAAAATACATTTTTTAAAGAAATAATGTTTAACAGTATTTTAATCCTATCTTCTCAAACACATTTTCCTCTTAAAATAAAAGTTTAAGATAAACATCTCATTTCAAATATTTTTACAAGATAAATCAATTATTTCTATGTGAATATGAGTCAAGTATTTGCTGCTTTCAAGATGTTATGACCGAATGTAACCACCTTTGGCTTGCAACTTAATAGCTTGAAAGTCAATTTATAATGCTAATCAAAGAAGGTTGATACGTATTTTTAAATTAAAAATTTTTCATCCTTTAAAAGAAATAAATCCTAACAAAAATATATTTATAAATCAATGATAAGCATTTTTATACCAAATATCTACAAAATAATAAAGTCTCCTAATATTACTTTTGAAAACAGTTGACCCTTGAACAATACAGGTTTGGACTGCGGAGGCCTATTTATATCCAAACTGGAGGCCCGGTGCACGAAACTGGTGCACCTGGGGTGGGGTGGCCCTCAGCCTGCGCCCTCTCACAGTAGAGGAGCGCTTGGGAATGTCCGATGGCTTAGGCCTGGAGGGAGCAGGCCTAAACCGTCAGTTTGACATCCCTAGTGCTGGCTTCTGGCTGAGTGGTGCTGCCACAATAAAAAAAAAAAAAGAAAAAAGAAAGAAAAAAGAAAAAAGAAAAAGAAAATCAGCATATGCAGATGACTGTATTTACTTGCATATGCCAATTATCAACTGTGTGGTAGTTCTCCATCCCCAACTTTCCCTTCATTGTTCAAGGATCAACTGTACTATCAAACACTTCAAAGTTTTATATGGTAAGTACAACCACCAATATATTTTTGCAATCACTTTCAAAGACTGGAAAGAAAATATGCTAACTGTAAGAGCAATAATGCTTGAGTTACAGGCTTGTAAATCTTGAATCTGCCACTTAAAATCTTAACTATATTTCTTAACTTCCGTAAAACTCAATTTTCTCTCATATAAAATGGGCGGTTACAACAGTGTCCACCTTAAAGAGCTCTTCTGAGTAACATAATACACACAAAAGATTAATACAGTATGTGACACAGTAAGTAACAATAAATATTAGCTATACCTAGCAGTGACTTAAGGGTCAAGTATCTAACAAAGTATATTTTCAAATAATATGTAATCATTACATAAAGAATTAAGAACCCTAATTAAAAAACAAAAACAAAAAATAGCATGGGAGACAGTTGGGGACATGCCCTCCAATGAAATATCCAGAATTATATTGCAATAATAGGGCTAAGAAGCACAAAGGACTCATCAGACTAACATTTGAAGTGTCCTAGGTTACTTTCATCATGCTTTGGCAGTCATTTCCTATACATTCTAACACTGCACTCTGTCATTTCCAAACTACAATTCAAAAGATCTGAAGTGAATTTTCTTTGCTTTTTTTGTATTTTATTTTGTCATGAATCTTTAGAAAAAATAATTAACTCATTGTCCTGAACAAAAAAAGGCATAGAAAAACTGTACACAAATAAAAAGTCATTTACATGTTATTTATTATATAGTAACCATTTTAGCAATTTCAAGTAATTGGTCTGGTATCTAATGTTTTCATACTGTTCATATTTAAAATCTCAAAAAACCTCTATTACTTATAAATAGTCTACTCTGATGACATGTCATATCTTTATTGGAATGATCAAGTACTAAATTTTACAAAAACCATTAAGCTATAGATTATGGTCCAAAATATTTTACTGGTGTTAATTTCCCATTTAAAATATTCCAGGTACTAAACCACAGTACATCAATATTATTTTGAGTGTGACTATTAAGCATGTGAACAGTTCCTCTAATTTTTGATCATACTAACCCGAATCAATGACATTTCCAATGGATATTTTAAATGACAGAGCACAGATATAGGAGACAGAAAACTATGTCTGGCCCAGTCAAAGTATTTACTAAATGTGTCAAGTTTAGCACGTCCCTCAACTTCTCCATGCCTCTCCTTCCTGTTCCAAAAAAAGAGGATCCTGCCCTCTTCTGTCTAACTCACAGGGCTGCGGTAAATCACCTAAGAAAAACCTATGAAAGTGCTATGAAAAGGACACAAGGTATATACATGTGATACCCACACACACGGGCTTTTTATAGTATTATATCTTGTTAGAATGGCCAGGCTATTAAATGTGTAATTTAAGAGAAAGTTATCCTTGGAATTATCAGAAAAAAATATGTAGTATCTTTACCATGTCTTTTGGATAAGGTTTGAGAGCATTTTGAAAAAAATGCAGATACCTATCCTATTATCATGTAAAGAATTACCTCAGACAATGACCTAAGAAAAGATAAGCCTCATTTATTCTTCCCAGATTAAAAAAAAAAAAAAAGGCTATAATTCGGCCTTACCAAAATGTGCTTCTATAATGTTATTAATTTATAGCCTGCTGTTTTAGGCTTATTCTGGTAGTTACTTAACCCACTCTGAAAGTAGTCATAGGTGATCTTTATTTCTCTACTACCTTTTTTAAAAAAATACTTATTGTAAATTCTAGTGGGTTTTTTTCTGACTTAAACTCACAGAAAGTAGGTATTGTAAGTTTAGATCTATGAATCCAAAAGAATTTTAGAAGCACAAATCAACAAAAAAATCCATTTAATTTATACTATATAGTTTTCCAAGGTTGTAAGATACAAAGCAAGAAAATAAATTAGGATTGATTTTTGTAGAAGACATATCTGAAGGATGATTGTGAAGAAATGAATGTGATTTTGAAGGAAACAGGACAAGGTGAAAAAAAAACAAAAAATAAGATTTTGTAAAACACTGTTTAGTTTTATACACAGTCACTGAAATATTAGTATCTCTAGGTTACTAGCTACATGGGAAACTGGATGGGTAATCGGTCAGGCATGTGGAAACAGATTTGGAAGATCTGATATAGATGATTGCATTGCTGAAGTCACGGGAGTAGAAATTATGAGGTCAAAGAGGGTCTAGATAATACTCAAGAAAAGATGTCAGAAGAGAATGAGGGAAAATGAGATGACAATGATTTGAAAAATACAAATAGAATCAGTACTAGAGAAGTGTGGGATTTCAAGAATCAGAGTAGTAAAAAACTAAGGAAAAAACTTAAAAGATTGGGTTTGACCAGAAGTCCATAATAAATATGAAGAGGTGATTTTAGTTTAGCAGTAACACTGGATTAAGTTAGCAATAAATTAAGGGATGACAAATAGTTAGAAAGGAGGGCTTCATAGTAATTAATAATTCAATAATTAGTTATTAATATAAATAATTTAATACATGTTTCAGAATTGAGTCAAACTGATTAATAATAATGTTTCAGACTTAAGTGAGACACTTCGGGGGAGGTGTCTAATGAGGGGAGCCTTATTCTTGTTATGAGGCAAAAGAAAGATATCAAGTCGCCCCTCCCTCTTTTTTTGAATAGCGTAGTCAGCCCCTACACTTAGTGGTATGTATTTACTTAGACCTTAATAAGTAAAAAGGCAAAAAGCCCAGTTGATAAGTGGTATTGAAAGTATAAAACAACAAAGTGAATAAGTCAATAATTTACACTTGAAAACAATTTTAAATAAAATTCAAACCACAAGTAGAAAACCTTAAAAATGTAACTGCTAGAGGCATGATATCCATATGATGTGCAAAGTGATTAAATATTTAAAAGCATAATATTGATTATATTTTGATATAGCCACTTTCACTCATTGACAGGACTTCTTAGATAATTTCAACCAAAAGAATTTCTATCTCAAAGCATTCATAAAATTGATAATGTGGGTACCTAGTAATTATGAAAAGTATCTTCACAATTTTTAGTATGAAAAGCAATATTAAAAAAGAAATGGAGCATCAAAATATTTTATTTAAAATTTACTTTATGCCTGATCTAATATGTAAATGGAAATAAATTAACATTCTATAGGTTTCTGAATTTCATTTCTTATTTTATTTTTATGGATATCTTTCTTTTGAATCTGTATCACTTGACATTAAAGCTGTATAAAAGCCATGCAATTTATTTACAATATTATACATTAATTATATTTGAAGATTATACCAAAATTTCACAAAACTGTAACTAAAATGAAAAGACAAGTGAAACATTTAGAGATTTTAAAAATTTTAGGTATAGAATTTTGCAAAGATTATTTTGGTTAATTTGTGTTATTCAAGCACTGGCTTGAAATAAAATGGACAAAAAATGCAAATGAGTAGAATTTCAACAAATGAAAAACTAAAAATGTTTAGTGAAAAGATAAATGACTATACCATATAGATGAAATACTTCCTTGTAGCAATGGGAATTATAAAATAGGAAAAACGGTTGGTCCTTAAAAGTCTTTCATAATGCATAAACTATCAGTAAATAAGTCTATAAAATCTTTCAGAAATAAATTTTTTTGAATTATATTCATTACCAAACTTATGTTTTCAGTAGTGATTGGAATTGTGAACCTTAAATATTTATTTTCCTGTAGGGAAAGTCTCAGTTTCCACCTTTGGGGAGTGGGGGTTAAGGGGTATGGTGGTAGCGGGGAGAAGAAAACCAATCAGTAATCTTAGACTTAAGTAAAGTTCCTGGTACCAATGTCATGTACTTGGGAGTAGAGAGCTGCAGAGACTTGCAAGTCCACATACTTTTAGCTGTATAGAGTGCTGTAAATAGAGAGTAGTATAAAATTTAGGTTGTTCAATGTAAGATCCCCTTTCAGAAAGTAAGTCCGTCATCCTTCAGAGTTTAAAAAATAACAATAGGGCCCTAGCCAGTGTAGCTCAGTAGACTGTGTGTTGGTCAAGGGCACATACCTCAGTTGCAGGCTAAATCCCCGACCCCATGTCTCTCTAAACATCAATGTTTCTCTGTGTCTCTCCCTCTCTGACTCTCTCTAAAAATCAATAGAAAAATATCCTCAGGTGAGGATTAAAAAAAAAAAAAAAAAAAATCAATACTGTTTCTTCTTCTCTAGCTGCATCTCGTCCAGCTTTCAGTGTTGTGGCTGAAGGACATTCAGGTACTCAGACTGGCCCAGGTGATAAGTCGTGTTCCTTCCACAGTCAACGTACTGGTACCTCTCCTGGGATATCTGTTCAGAGTGTCCGAAGTATGTTGTTGTCACAGTGACTCTAAAAATAAAATAAATGTGGAGAAACACTGAATAGTTACATATATAAAAGTTTTCTCAATTGAGAATACTTTTAGACATTAAAATTCTCTTCAGGGAGAGATTTGATTGATGACAGCTACATATTCTGGACATGGGTCTCTTAGGAAATATTTTCCCAACAGACAACAGGAATGCTCGCTGAGTAAACCCTATCCAAATAATTATATACAACAAATGTTAATTTTTTTTTTTTAAAACACCTATCTTTAGTTAAAAATATAGTGTAAGTTCATCATACTATTAAAAATCATAGTTATAGAAAAAGGGTTCATCAAATGTTAGGCTCATGGCCCAAATTCCAAACCTATAACCTACAATGTTTTAACAGCTTAGGGTAACACTCAATATACAAACCAGTAACGTTATTTCTCCTCACTAATACTAATGATCATTTACCAAAGGGAGCAAGGAATTGGAGGCTAAGTTCAGTCCTCCCCTTGTCCCAACCCCTAACATTTTCCTGAGTTCTTGCAAGGTTCAGGTTCATTATTCAGCAGCATGTGATCCTGTACTAATACTTCTTGAGCTCCCATCTCCTCATTTGTATCATGGGATAATAGTTATTGGACATCAGAGTACTCTTGTAAGACATAAAACCCAATTGAGATGGCCTTGTAAAAATGCTGTGTATGCTCCAAGTCAGTGATTTTCAACCTTTTCGGCTCATGGAACACATACTCTAGTTGCTAAAATTCTGCAGCACACCAAAACTTACTTGCTGATAAAAAAAAAGGGTATAATTTTGATTTATAAAAAAATAAAATAGTGATTATCTACCCTTTTTGCTTCAAAGTATGTCAGATGCAAACTTATGCAACATGACCAATAAGATGCAACTCTATTATATGACCTATATACTTTGTGACAGGGCATACACACTAGAAGGCTATATTATGCTGGCTGTTATTTATTTATTTATTTTTTATAATCTAAGGCACATGTGTCAAACACAAGGCCCGCGGGCCAAATCCGTCCCGCGGGCCAAATCCGTCCCGCCAGGCCTTGCAATGTGGCCCACACCGCGCTGTCATCACTGCACTCCGCTGCGTTTCCATCACAATGACAGTTTATGACTGTTCAGTAAACCATTCGGCCCGCGATTTAGGCTGGATTTTAGATTTTGGCCCCTTCTCTGATTGAGTTCGACACCCCTAATCTAAGGGAAAAGAGGTCACTGTCCCTGACTAGTCAGGTATTACATGCTTTAAAAATTCTCAGAGCACATCAGTTAAAAATTGCTGCTCTAAGCCAATTTTATTAATCTGAAATTTATACAAAGAAATGTCTTTTTCAAAAAATTCATACTCACTGCATCATGAGAACAATGTTATGCACTTTGATGGATGGCAGTGTACAGAAGTCACTGTTAAAGAGAAAACAATGTGAACAGATGATACCTATGACATAAATGTAAAAGTTTAATTACAATTCTTCCAATGCTAAAGCTAAGTGATACTATTAAGATATAATAAGCAAGCAGTATTGGTTGATCATTTCCTCTATCTCACATAATGATTAATATTTTCATTAACAGGTGACCTTTCAGTGCATGGATGATGATCAACCACATAGGCCAGAGCAATTTACTTTTACTTTTTAAAAATTTAATTGTTTTTAATTGATTAAGTTATTACATATGTGTCCTATTCCCACAGTGCAACCCACCCCTCTGCTCATGCCCTTACCTCTTGTGTCTGTGTCCACTGGTTAGGCTTATATGCATGTATACAAATTCTTTGATCTCTCTCCCTTACCCCCACCCTCCCCTGCCTTCCCTCTGAGGTTTGACAGTCTGAATGATTCTTCTCTGTCTCTGGATCAGTTTTTGTTCATCAGTTCTGTTGTTCATTATTTCCCACAAATGAGATCATGTGATATTTATCTTTCTCCAACTGACTTATTTTGCTTAGCATAACGCTCTCCAGGACCATCCATGCTGTTGCAAATGGTAGGAGTTCCTTCTTTTTTACTGCAGTGCAGTATTCCATTGTGCAGATGTACCACAGTTTCTTAATCCACTCATCTGCAGATGGGCACTTAGGCTGTTTCCAAATCTTAGCTATGGTACATTGTGCTGCTATGAACATAGGGGTGCATATATCCTTTCTGGTTGGTGTTTCCAGTTTCTAGAAGTGGGATCACTGGGTCAAATGGGAGTTCCATTTTTAGTTTTGAGGGAACTCCATACTGCTCTCTACAGTGGCTGCACCATGTCTGCCTATACTGCCGCCACTTTGTCTCTCCCCCTACTTTTACTTTTCACCTTTTGAAATTTCACTCATCAGTTTATTTTTCAGAAGTTTTATATCAGGCTAATAGATGATAAAAATTTATCACTGTTTTACTTAATGAGAGTAAATAATCATTTAGAAACAATTTATAAGTTTTAGAACAACAAAATGACAAGAGTATTATACATTAAAGTAGAACATCCGTTTAAACTTAATTTGTCCAACAAGCAATTTGTTTAAAAACCCAAATCATGTCCCCATTAGGAATAATATAAATTAAATGAATCCATTCCAGACCCCAAATGATTCCCCGTTTTAACCTTTCTTATACAGAGTACATGTCAAATGTACTGTTTAATCTAAAAAAACCAAAACACTTTACTTCTTACATTTATCAAACCACCCTTACTGGCCTTAAAGAATCACTGTCAGCACTTGTTCCAGGGGTATCTTTCATGGAGGTCAGCATGCAGCCTCCCTGAAATGCTGTCACTGGCTAATGGCTTTTTATTTACCCAAATCAACATCAGTTTTTCTACCTCTTCAATTGCCTGTAATCATTGTTTCTTTCGCACCCTCAGCAATACTAGCACTCTTCCCTGCCCCAATTTTTTTTAAAGAACTTCTTTACCTTCTTGTCCTAAAATATAAATGTCATTATATATTTTATTATTAATATTTTTAATCTTTTTAATTTAAATTCTTTGCTGTTGAAAATATTATATATGTCTCCTTTCCCCCCCCCCCCCCCCATTGACCTTTCCTGCCTGCTCTGACCTTTTCCCAATTTTTTTTTATTGATTTTTAGAGAGATAGGAAAGGAGAGGGATGAAAACATCATTGATTTTCATGCCTCCTACTGGAGATCAAGCCTGCCCCCCAGGCAGGTACTCCTGACTGAAATGGAATCAAGGATTCTTCAATCCATAGGCCTAAGTTCTATCCACTGAGCCAAATCAGCTAGGGCCATTAGCACTCTTGAGCCTCTCTCTGTTTTAAAATTGTGTTAATGGTTGATTCAGCCTGCAACAAAAATATTTTCTCCCAGCTGCCTGAGAGAGATTTTTTTGTCATGCTGAGGTATCAGCATGAACATTGAAAACCAAAGTTTGGTTTACTTTAAGAACCCATATATATTTTTTTCTGTGAACTGAGTTGAGAACAGAATTATTTGAGATGAGAAACATTTGAGAAATGAGGCTTGACTGTATTAGCATGATAAATCTTCCTATAATAAAACATCAACAAATAATAGAATATATGAGAATATGATTTTAAAACAGCAAACATAAAGTGACACTGTATATATGATCTTAATTAAAAAAAAAATCAGGTGTTGTACATAAATGTCAAGTACGTTGAAAAGGGAGAAGAGGAAAACAGAGATAAGCAGAAGCCAGAAGGAATATTCCAAAATGTGGTCTTGTGACTGCTAAGATTATGGGAGATAAAATACATATATATTTAATTCATATTTTATAATTTAATGAGAGAAAAATAAAAATCAGAACTTACTACATATAACTCATTTCCTCTGCTATGATAGTAGGTACTGTATAATCAATCTGAAAGGCAAAAAATAAAAATAAAGAGAGAATTGGATCAACAATCAAACATTTCAGATACATTTCATAACTTCCAAGAGTTCAGAAATCTCCCTTTACGAGTCTGATGCTAAGACTTACTCTTATTCTAGAGGCTCCCGACACACAAAATTCATGCACGGGCAGTCCCTAGGCCTGGCTTGCAACCAGGGCCATCTTCCCCAGCTGCCCTCAGCTGGCCCCACTACTCAGCCCCAGTTCCCATTTGCCAAGGGGTGATCAATGCCTGTTGGCTGGGGGAAAGAACGGAGAGGTTGGCTGTTCCTGCCTGCTCATGGGCCCCACTCCTGCAGAGGGTGGCCATAGGGTAATGGCAGCCTGCTGGCGGGGAAAGGGACCAAGAGGTGGTCAGTGTGCCTCATAGTGACTGGTCCAGCAATTGTTCTGCTGTTAGGGTCAATTTGCATATTACCCTTTTATTTTATAGGATATTCACTAGAGGCCGATACACGAAATTTGTGCAAGGGGCTCAGCCTTTGCAGACTGGTGGCTTGCCTCGGCTGTAGTAGCCCCGGCTTCATCCAGAAGGTCAACCCGAAGGACATCCAGAAGGTTGTTCGGCTGTCCAGTCTCATTAGTATATTATGCTTTTTTTTATTATAGATGGGACACATTTCAAAGTCCAGTTTTTGAGGAAACCCCCACTTCCTTTAAGGTAGTACGATAAAGTTGAGACTCATTTAACTTCTTCAAAGAATTTCATGACTGAAGCTTACCTGTCTCATATCCAATGGACCAATGTTTGTTATGTTGTTTAAGCGTGACTTTCCAATAACTGTTTTTGAAAACTGAACTTGTGCAGTGATGTTTTCAACTTCAACAGCATAATAGTTATTGTTTGTTATATTTAGCGTGTTCTGCAAAAGAAAGGAGGCAGAAAACATGTAAGTTATCTGAAAATAAGCAAAAGGAAGATGTACTCAAACTAATAAAAATGACTTCAGTTGTGGCCATGCTTCATTATTAGAATAAAAGTTTTAACAAAAATGTCAAAGAATATCAAATGAACCAATTTTTTGGTTTTATGTATGAGTACAATGTATTGAATATGCTACAATAGTGTAAAAAAAAAAAAAAAAGGCCCAGAAATGGTACAGGCTGAAAATGTTAGGAAAGGTATTTGTGGCATTAGCAAAAATTCAATAAAAATAATTTTTAAATTTCATCTAAATGTTTATTAAATGTTAATAAAGTTATTTCTAATTCTAATAAATATAAATATGGCCATTTAGCAGCACTTTAAAATAAATTTGGTTTAAAAGAAATTAGTATTTTATATTATACACAAATTGAAATTTTTATCAGGTCACCATGGAGAAAAAATGGAAAAGATTTAAGTCTGGTTGGTTGGACAAAGATAAAAGTGCATTACTTCTATACTTGGGTAACACTAGGTCCAACTTTTTAAATTCTAATTCACATCTGTCTCAAATTCAGAAACAAATGTTGAAAAGTAAACAGATTATACAATACATAGACTAGAGGCCCGGTGCCTGGTCTGCACTCTCTCCAATCTGGGACCCCTGGGGGATGTCTAACTGCCTCTTGCAATCTGGGACTGCTGGCTCCTAGTCACTCACCTGCCTGCCCGCCTGATCACCGCTAACCACTTCTGCCTGCCTGCCCGCCTGATCACCGCTAACTACTTCTGCCTGCCTGTCCGCCTGATCACCGCTAACCACTTCTGCCTGCCTGTCCGCCTCATCACCCCTAACCACTTCTGCCTGCCTGCCCGCCTGATCACCGCTAACTACTTCTGCCTGCCTGCCCGCCTGATCACCGCTAACCACTTCTACCTGCCTGCCCGCCTCATCACCCCTAACCACTTCTGCCTGCCTGCCCACCTGATCACCCCTAACCACTTCTGCTTGCCTGCTTCATCACCCCTAACCACTTCTGCCTGCCTGCCTGATCACCCCTACCTGCTCCCCTACCGGCCTGACCACCCATAACTGCTCCCTTGCTGGCCTGATCGCCCCTAACCGCTTCTGCCCCGCACCCGGGACCCAGGATTCCCTCCTCCGGCTGGTCATAGACGCCCAGGACCCGGGCTTCCCTCCCTCTGGCTGTCCATAAGCACCCAGGACCCAGGCCAGTTTCGCCTGGGCCGGCCACAGCTGCAGGGGGGGGACCATGGCGGGCAGCCGCAGGTGCCTGGGACCGCAGGGTGGGCAGCTTATCCCTCTCCCAGGCTGTAGCCACAGGCGCTGGCGCCCAGGATCGTGGGGCGGATGGCTTTTCCCTCTCCTGAGCTGGGCCAGCCACTGGTGCCCGGGACCATGGAGCATGCGGCTTGTCCCTCTCCCAAGTCGGAGGTGGAGGTGCAGCTGCTGGCACCCAGGACTGTCAGACCACAGTCTGGCTGGTCCCCATTCCTCTCTCCCCAGTGTTGAGTGTCTGAGCTGTTACAGTGTGATGGTATGAAGGCGTGATGACCATTTGCATATTAGCTCTCTATTATACAGGATTTTTTTGTAGCTATTAATTGTTTAATTCATTTATCCTCCCAAAGGCATCTTCAAATGCTAAATGATTTTGCATACACAACTGACCGTATTTATTACTCACCACTTTCAGCAGAACCAGAAATGACAGAGAAAGTTAATACTGTAGACACACAAAACGCAAGCTGACCAGCATCACATTCAATCTTCTCTCAACAAGGACAAAGGTACTGCTTAACATCATAAAAGAATGAAGTAAACTATTTTTAAGATAAAGTTTTACTTACTGTGATATTTAAATATATTGTACGCTTTGCATCATCATAACCGACATATGCTGATTTGACACCAATGTATTTCACGTCGATAGAGCGAGGGAAAAGGAAAAACACAGCCAATCCAGAAATCAGCAGACAGACAAACACAGAAGCCATCACATACAGTTTTCTGAAAAAGAAAATGGAGTATTTAAACATATGTGCACCAAAAATTACACAATGAAACACTTAGAAAGGATATTTTCAACCTGAATTTTCCCCCTATTATGCTAGCTGTATAAAATGTATTTTATCAACTTTTTACATTATTAAAGTACTTAGTAGGCTTGGGTCTGAGTCTACTAAGTACTGAAATGTTTTCCTTAAAAGATGTATTTACTGCGGGAGCCTGATGCGGTGGGGGCCAGACATCGCAGGGATCTCCCTTTTCCCTGTCCCGCACGGAAAGAGAGATGAATGAACCAGTTCTAAGTGGAGGCAGGCAGGGATTGAGAAATATTAGAAATAAAGAGAGAAGACACAGAGATAGATTTAAATCTGGGAGCTGGGTGGGCCACCATTCTCTCTGCTGGAGGGGCAGGAAGACAATGACAACAACCCATCACAGCGCATTTATTTTATACCCCCAATACCAGGAAGTAACACCAACTTATTTGAATTCTTAAGTAGGCCCTAGCATGCCTGGATTTACATTTCTAGTCCCACCCCTGCTGACACCTGGGCTGATATGAAGGCCAAGCTGACAACATGTCCACCATCTTGGGAAACATGTTCCCAAGGCGTGGCTCTGCTTATGCCACGAGTTCAGCTGATGATAATTAAGGAAAATTGCTCATGTGACTTCCCAAGCGGCCCTCTACAATTTACCTTATCAGAGACTGGGATTTCAGGCTTATTATAGATATAACATAACTGCAGTGACTCCCAAACTGGGCTGCACATTCAAATCAAGACAGGGAGCTTTAAAAATATATAAATTTCAAGACCTCCTCTTGAATTCCCCAAGGCAGAATTTTCACATGTGAATTCTGCCACTGTGATTTCCTAAAGTGGCTACTCATCCATAACTACTTTGGAAGCTCTTAAAACAATGAGATATCGACACGGCTTATCAATTTCAAGTTTATAGCCATTCTCTGTTGTTATAAAAGGTATTAAAAAATGGCCAGTATGAATATCCAATTCTATAGTTTTGAGATTATTTCTCTAGTGACCGAACCTGTTCTCCCCTTTATAAACTGGACCCTATCCCCAGCAGGTTCTTCTCAGGATAAGCCTGTCCTTTCTGTAAAAGGTTTTATCCAGTTTCCCTCAGGTCTTTGAGGGCCAGTCCACTCCGATCTTTTCAGGGTCCCTTAATGGATCTCTGTGGCCTTTTTTGCACTCTCTCCACGTTGGAGCGTGAGGAGCACTCCCATGTTAACAGGTTATTCTCAGAGGTATTTGCTGAAAGCCTTCTGAATGGGATCCTCTTCTTATAGGCAAGGTATTTGCTTTGGGTATTAGTGGCATTGGGAATCTTAGGAACTCTATTTGCTTCCATTCACAATTTCCACACAGCTGTTCAATATGTTAAGTCCTTGCTGTCATCATGGTTTGAATACCCATTTTTATCCTGTGGCTAGTGGGAACACCCATTTAAAAAAAGTAAACATGTTTCTCTGTGTGTGTTCCCTACTATTAATTTAAGTTTGTCTATTTTAATAAATGGATTTGAGAAGATTCAGATACTATGCTGCTTTCAAGACTTTACCCCAACTAGGAATCTTTTTTTTTTTTTTATGATATAAAAGCATATGAGAGCAATACTTAACAATTTGATAGCATTTTCCCCTTTTAATAGTGTTAGCTAGTGGCCCTGTGCACAAAATTCATGCACCAGGGAAGTGGAGGGGAGGTCCCTCAGCCCAGCCTGCACCCTCTCCAATCCAGGATCTCTCTCGCAATCCAGGACCACTGGCTCCTAACCGCTTGTCAGCCTGACCACCCCTAATACCTCTACCTGCATGCCTGATTGCCCCTAACTACCCTCCCCTGCCAGCCTGATCAGCTCCCTAACTGCTTCCTACTGCTGGCCTGATCACCCCTAACCGCCTCTGCCTTGGCCCCTGACACCATGGCTTTGTCTGGAAGGAAGGCAGGACTACCGGAAGATGTCTAGTCAACCTGGTCTAATTAGCATTTTACCCTTTTATTAATACAGATAACTTGAAAAGCAAAAAAAAACCCCCAAAAACAAAACAAAACAAAACAAAACAAAAACCATACAGCAAAACAATTTGCCATTTTTTTATGAGTATAATCACTTACGTTCTTCTTGGCCTTAATCTCTGATCACTATATGGGATCAATGCCACCAGCTGGTTTTCTTGCCCTAAGAGTTAAAGAAGTTTAAAAATTTTATTAACATAGTTAATTAAAAATGTAGTGAGTGACTGCTCAACAAAGTCTGGTTTGGAAAGACCAAAATATCATGTGGTTCTCATCACATTCCTTTAGTAAACTGCTCTCAAAATCTTCAGAAATTATACAACTTGGATCTTTGTATTAACCATTAGAACACCAAAGTTATATTCTCTTTTAAAGCTTTCCATAATGCTTCCATTATTCCTTCCAAACCCTCCATAACTTTCCCCTCATTTAGACTACTCCCAACACACCCGCATGTAATATATATATATCTCTATATATTGAATATATGTCTGTGTGTGTGTGTGTGTGTGTGTGTGTGTGTGTATATATATATATATATATATATATATATATATATATAATTGCATCTTGGTATTCATTTAGCTAAATTACAAATTACAATCCCGGTTAAAACCAACCCTTAGCTACTGTGCCTATATCCACAGTTAAATGTGAGAGAGAAAAACATCAAACTATACTCACTGATCTGATTTTAGATCACTAATTTCAAGTAGCCCTTAATGATACCAACAACCATACTAATTTCCTTAGTTCACACTCTCAACCTGACATACCAAGACCACCATTTCATAACATCAAGTTTTTTTGAAACATCCAATATCTTCTTCCCCATACTCACTCTGAGCTCAGGATGTAGCAAACAGAACTTTCGCAAGCTCCCACCACCACATGTACCTAAACTATCTACTACTGTGTCCACACATTCTCTCCTGTTACTAAGAACAGCCAGATGCACAGGTCTAATAATTCTCCCAGCTCCTGTATGCTTTGTCTGTAGATCATTCTCTCCAAATATTATTCACTCCATCTTATAAAAATCCCTCTCCTGACCTCACAGTACCCTCCAGCTATACTACTTCACTCCTTTTTTACACAGTAAAACTCAATGCAAAAACTATTGTATCTTCACACTATATAACAGCTCCTCCTCTGTACCCGATTCCAAATCCAATAGTCTTTACAACAGCAAATCCAATAGTTCTTAGTCCTCACATTAATTGATCTATCAGTAATATTTAACACAGTCCATCAATTTTTCTCCTTTGTATATGTTCCACATTTACCTTCTAGGACACTAAATACAGATTTCCTCCTCCTACACTAGCTGCTCTGTCAGTGTCTGCTAATTCTTTCTCATGTCACTGACCTCAAAATGTAATGCTCAAGGGTTCAGTGCTAGGGCTTTTTATTCCACAATGCTGAACTTGGTGCTCTTGTTATCTGTGAGACTACAAGACCTTGGTTCTTATCTTCTTAACACATTAAGCGCCAAGCCTGTTTTGTCTTCCTTTCCATTTAGCCTGAGATATCTGATTTCACCCAAATGCTGTCGGCACCAGTGACTGATGAGGTCCGGACGGAAAGTATACTGCCAGTCACCGGTGACTGACATGTCGCTTAACGTATTAAAGGAAAGGTTTTAATCAAGAGACAAAGTGCAGAAGTGTAAGCAAGAATTTACTGAAGGTAGCAAAAACACACTTAGCAACAAGGGCATACATAGAAGAAGCAACTGGAGAGCCTAGGCTGGGCTGCCTTGGCTCACTGGGAAGTAAGAGAAAAGAGGGCCTTGGAGACAGGTTCAGGGGTTAACCTGGGACAAAATGCTACAGCCCATTGCTCTCCTGGTTGCAAGTCTCATAAGGTCCCTTAGAGTTTAGAGACCTCATGCCTGTGCGTGAAGAGAATGGCATGGCCTATGGGGGAAGAGAATGGTTAGGCCTGCTAGGACCTTTCTTTTCATGGGGTTTTAAAGGCTGGACATTTAGGAAAGTCCTTAAAGGAGGATCAGTAGAATATCCATTAGCTTATGCTGATGTACCAAAATGAGATTTATTCTCTTAATCTGTCTGTCCTTGGGTCTGGTTGGCAAGTGGCACTAATTGGATTTCTGTTACCTGCCTCCCTGAGTAGGGTCATTTAAGCTATTACCCTCTGGTTGGGGAGAACTACAAACAACTTACTCTTAAGTGTCCTTATTTAGGGACGTTAGGATTTACTAGGTGGCTGCAAACTGCTGTTTAACTATCTGTTTAGTTTCCCTATTTCGCTTGTCCTAGAATTTTCATACTTTCTTACTATCCTATAACACCCTCATCCATCTCAGCTTTAAGTATCACCTGTATACTGCTGACTCCAGCCTACATGTTGCACTTGAATTCCAGGCCCTCATTATAACTGCCTATTGCACATATCCACGTAGGTGTCAAATATGCATCTCCAAACATACATAACTAAAACTGAGCTCTCTCCTGACATACACACCTTCAAGCCTTTTCTCAATCCTAATAACTAGTTCATTCTTCCAGTTGCTCAGACAAAAAATACCTTTGTAGACATTCTCGATTTCCCACTATCCACTTCCAGTTGCCAAAAAAGCCCATTGGCCATACTTCAAAAACATATCCAGGTAATGTTCCCCTCCCCTAGTCTGGTACATTAATCCCTTCAACGGAAATAATCCTTTTATTCTCAGTCACTATCATTGCAAAGATAAAAATCATCACATTCAAAGGCCAACTCAAATATAAACTTTCCCAACCCAAGGCATCTATCAGAGACTCTGCTAGACCTTCTACTGCCACTCTGTCCTTTCCTTGAGGCTTCTCCAGAGTCACATTGTCAACTCTAACCAAGCAGATAGCGAGAAGAGCACAAACGTACTTTCATATTTCTGTAGCTTGGAAACAGCGCACAGGAATTATTTCCCTCTGATTTCTATGATATTCCACAAATTGATATTTTTTTTTTTTTCCTATTTGACTCATCATCATATACCATCCTCCTTCATGCAATTAGTTCCTCTTGTGCCAATACCTGAAATCATTCTTTAAAGGGAAACAATGCACATACCCCTAGGAATTCTTCCTGTTCCTTGACAAGTGGGGCAGGTGACGCTGTCTCTTCCCGTAAACTCCACATATGGAAACTGAGAGACATCTCCACTTCTTCCATCTTCATTATGGACTTCATTACTAACCAGTCCATTCCTCATGTTTTCAGTTGATGCGACTCCACCATAAGCATCATCTTTAGTTGAATGCAAAGGCAAATGAGAGAAAGACTTTCCCATGTCTAAAGAAAAAGAGTAATTTATAATAAACTTCGCACACAAAACATATACAAGCAAGAACCTTATGAAACATTTATACCAATCTAATTAACTTAGAAAACTTCAGGGGAATGTTCAAACATTCAGACAGACTACTTTGGGAATTAGAATTATATTCAATCAAAGTAATGTCTGAAACAATGAAGCCATTTACTTGAGTCCAAAAGTGTTTATCTATCAAAATATCTATATATATATATAAAACCCTAATATGCAAATAGACTGAACAGTGGAACAACTGGTCACTATGATGTGTGCTGACCACGAGGGGACATGCGGGGAACATGGCAGACATCAGCTGTGGCAGGATGGTGAAGTAGGTGAGGGGGGAGGGGCACACCAAGGCAGGGGACCGGTTGCTGTCACCGGGGCAAGCCTCTGGTGGTTACTGAAAATTCTTTGCTCCTGTGTGCTGTGGTCCTGCCTGCTGCTCAGTGTCATCAGTGGGTGTGAGCAGCAGTGCTGGCTCCAATTGCCCCTCAGGGCTTCTCCACCTCTCCCTGCTCCTGAGAGGCAATTGGGGCAGCAGCCACTGCTTGCACCTGCTGATGGCGCTGGCCCCAATTGCTCTGTGCCACCAGCGGGTGAGAGTGGGGCTGGTGCCATTAGCACGTGGAAGAGGCGGTGGGGTTGCTGGCAGACAGGGGACCCGGGGCCGTGGTGGAGGGGGCTGGGTGGGGTTGTGGAGGATGGGCCAAGACCTGCCGCTGTGCCCACCACAGCCTCGCAGTCCACATTTCCTTTCAAGGTGCATGAATTTGTGCACTGGGCCCCATAGCTATGAAATAATATCATATCAGACTTGTGATGAGAATGGACTTTCAAACAACATTACAATTTAACATACTTTCTCTGGGTTCTCTGAAAAGTAATGTGGGCTTCACATTTCTTAGAATAAAACACAAACACATATTGCCTTTAAACCAATAAGCACCAAAGGCAAAAGTTTCTTTGGGCAGATAACAATTAGGTATCACCAAGCAAATTCAAAATAGTATTTTTCAATCTTTTAAAATTCATGCTCCTTTGTGATAAATAAAATTTACAATCCCTCTCATCCATACATTTCTTTGCTTTAAACGTTTAAACACTTGCAACAAAAATAATTCAAAAACCAAATTCTACATGTTTTTCTCTCATTCAGCAGTTGGCAGAGTTAAAATTATGAAAGGAGCATTTCAAAATATTGAATACTAGAGGCACGAAATTCATGCATGGGGGATGGGAGGGGGGTTCTCTCGCTCAGCCTGCACCTTCTCCAATCTGGGATCCCTTGGGGTATGTCCAACTGCGGTTTAGGCCAGATTCCTGGACATTCATCTCACAACCCTGGACCGCTGGCTCCTAATCACTCACCTGCCTACCTGCTCCTAACTGCCCCACCTCCCGCCAACCTGGTCCCCCCCTACTGCCCCCACTGATGGTCTAGTGGCCTCTCACTGCCCTGCCCCCCCTGCCTAATCACCTCCAACTGCTCCTCCTTCTGGCCTTGTTGCACTCTCATCCTGCCAGCCTGGTTGCCACTAACCGCCTCCCCTCCGCCAGCCTGGTTGCCTCTTACTGCCCCCCATCGGCCTGGTTGCTCCTAATTGCCCCCCTCTTGACAGCCCTCACTAACCGCCCTGCTGGCCTGGTCACCCCATGCAGTCTGCTTGTTCAGTCATTTGGTCATCCCTCACTAACCCCTGTCAGCCTGGCCATAGGCAGCCATCTTATGAGGGCATGAGGGTTAATTTGCATATTACCTCTTTATTATATAGGATAACTTACCCATACAAAATATCACTTTCAAAATTTTGGCATAACAATGTCAAAAATAATGAGGGGAAAGTTAAGTATAAATTTAAAGCCATTTTTATAAGTTCAAAAACATAATTTATGACTTCTACAAATGCATTATCTTCTCTTGATTTGTTTCAATGACATTAGATCCCAGCCAAGCCAATACTTGCCAGGCACAGATATGTCTCAGGAGAGAAAGACACAGAAGGCAAAGCCACTGGCTCTGTCTGGACCTCTTCTAGCAGTTGCCTTGATAGATGTGTGTGTGTTTGCCCTGCCTGCATGCCTCAGCTCAACCTATGAACCAAGAGGTCACAGTCCAGTGCTGGTTGCAGGCTCTATCCCAGTGTGGGGCGTGCAGGAGGCAGGCGATCAGTGATTCTCTCTCATCACTGATATTGATGTTTATGTTTCTCTCTCTTTCTCTTTCTCTCTCTCTCTCTCTCTCTCTCTCTCTCTCTCTCTCGACGTCACCCCTTCCTCTCTGAAATCAATGAAATTAAAAAAAAAAAAAAAGGTGTTTGTTTCAAGGCTAATGGTACTGGGCATCCCCACACTTCTTGCTAAAATTTCCTCAGAACCCTTATAAACTTAAGCACTTTTATTCCTGGAGGCTGGTTGGCGTATAGAGAGATTCTAAGCCCCCTTCTCTTCTGTGTGCTCCAAGTGTTGTTTGTTTGTCTTATCGCAGCCTTTTAATTTACTGAAAACCAAACTGGAACTCAGACTCGGTAGGAAGAGAGAGAAAGAAAAACACACACACAAAACAGCCGTCCATCCAATTTAAATGGATCGTAATTTCCTGCGATAACGAAGGAAGCCAGTCCCTTCCTTTAACGACACACAGATAAAACAAAATCTAGCCTACAGTCTCCTCGGGAAAGGTTAAAATTAAGACCCAGCCAACCGTGCAAGGAAACTCAGAAACAGCAACACCAGCGGCCTCCCAAGCTGTGGGGGCGTGGAATCGACCCCGGGCGTCACGGTCTGGGTCTGGGTCTGGGTCTGGGTCTGGGTCTGGGTCTGGGTCTGGATCGGGGTCTGGGTCTGGATCGGGGTCTGGGTCTGGGTCCCGGTCTGGTTCTGGGTCCCGGTCTCTGGGTCTGGTTCTGGTTCTGGGTCCCAGTGGGAGGAAGTGGTGGCACAACATCCTCCAAAACACAGCCCCGAGCTCCTCCCCCGCCGCCCGGCCGGCCCAGCTGCGCGGCGTCTCCCCTCCCTCCGCGCCGGAAGGGGACCCGGGCCGCGCAGCGGGGGTCGCTCACCGGCGCTGGGGGGTCCCGAGCTGCTCCCTCCGGCGCGGACGGGCCGGAGGACAGGGTCGCCGAGCCCGCGGTCAGGCTGCCCGGGCGGGAGCCGCTGGCTGCAGCAGGGCCGCCGCGGAGCAGGGGCCGGAGCGATGCGAGCACCGGATCAGCTGACGCCGGGCCTGTGGCGACCTGCGCCCGCGCCTGCGCAGAGCGCGCTCCTGGGCGTGCGCGGCCCGGACGTGCCCCGCGCCTGCGCCTGCGCCTGCGCCGTGCCCCCGCCGGTCCGACCCCCGAAGCGCGGCCGCCGCCGCGCAGATGCGCGCGTGCGTTTGTTACCTTGGTCTCCCAAGACTGAAAGGTAAACGTGGGCTGCAGGGCCCTAGGAAATTTAAAAATAGTGGTATTACTCCATCCTCCACACCCCGGTGAGGCAATTTCCCTTTCCAAAGGGGAAAAACGTGCCCTCGCTGCTGCAGCCCTCCGCTGGGCCGGCTTCTGGTCCTGGCCCGGGAGTGGACCTGGACCAGGACCAGGACCATCACGGCGCTGGGCGGGGGATGAGCTGGATGATGCGCTCACGTCTGTTTTAATGTAATTTAATACAATGAAGTCGCACTTAGTTTAACTTAGAGCCTCTTGTTCAGTGGCAGGAAGATGTAAGCAGGAGGGAGTCCAGTTTTTGCTCTTTTCGGTTTGGGTTTAGGTTGGTTTTGCACTTGGCGTCCCCCGCCCCGCCCTTTCCCTCCTCGGCGGCTGGTTGGCAGGAGTGGGCGAGCCCGGCGCTTCCAGGCATCGGTGCACCCTGGGCTGCTTTGCTCAGCGCCTCAAAGGTTAGAAAATGAGAATAACAACATTACACAGTTGTTCTGAGGGTTAAGTGAAATGCAGGGGGTAACTGTTGAGCACAGACGGGACTCATGGCTTGCAGGAAGTTGGACATTTCATGGATTTAAGTAGCCTATTCTAGTATTTGTATCTTGACTAGTAGCTCCTGTATTTATAGCTTAAGGTTATGAGTTAACATAATCAGAACAGCAATCTAAGGTGAGACAGTAAATCACAATTTCTTTTTCTTCGGAGGCCATAACTGTAGCTGAAGTTAGAGAATGATAGGCAAGTTTTATGTGTTCAGCGAGGCAGTTTGCCAAATCCAAAAGGTCAGTCCATTTGGGATGTAATACTGCCAGATTGCAGGGTTAGATTGGATGATTAGAATTAAAGAAAAAAGTTTCAGGAAGAGGCCATTCTTTAAAAAAAAAAAAAATACATTTTTACTGCTACCAGAGAAGAAGGGAGGAGAGATAGAAACATCAAAGAGGAGAAGAATCATTGATCAGCTGCCTCCTGCACGCCCCCTACTGGGGATCCAGCGGCAATCGGGGCTGGGAATCTTAACTGTGACCTCCTGGCTCATTGACTGAATCTTAACCACTGAGCCATGCGGGCGGGGCCATCCTTAAAACAGTATGAAAAACCCTGAAGAAACAGACACCATAATGCAAGTTAAGGATCCAGGCAAAATGTTTGAATAGTACACGTATGGAAGCTACTAATCCAAGAATGGAGCTTAATAAACCAAGGACCTTTATGTTTCCTACAAAAGGTCAAAATTGTTCTCAAAGTAGAGGGAGGCCCAAGAGAATCATTGATCGGCTGCCTCTACACTGGGGATGGAGCCTGCAACCCTAAGCATAGGTAGAGAAAAAGGAAAGCATGACTGGAGTGAGAGACTCTGGGAATAAGAAACAAGGCCAGTTAGAAAAGTCACAGTGGGGTCCAGTGGCTTTTCCTTATGCCAATGCAAAGGAAAACAATCAGTAAGGAAGTGGAGAGGGGAGAAAAGGAGTACTTTCAATATTTTAGTAAGTGATTGTCACTACTACCTAATAGAGGAGAATTTGGCCCAGGAACCCTGGAGGAGGTATTCTGAAACGGTTATAAAATAAAAATAAAGAGACCAATCAGGATTTATAAAGTTACAAGAGACTTACTCTACTGCACAACAAGCACAAAACAGAAAAGTTTTGTTAAAATCAGTTAAAAATGATCAGAACTGAGGACACAAACATTCATAAATTTAAATACAGAAGGCAGTGAGAGCTAAGAGAAGAGAGAATGACAGTTTCTTTCATTTCCCACAGAACAGTTTATGGTACATCAAGTAACTTTTCCCACATGAATGCACCACAAACAGGTGATAGGAGACCATCCAAATGTTGAATGGCTGTGTGTAGATTGGAATGCTAGATTACATGCGCTTGGAGCTCCAGTCCAGAGAGAGTCTTCTGCACTGACCCTCTTACTCTGTCCCAAAGGCGATAAGTGCCCAAAATTAGCTGTGAGAGTCAGGATGGAACAATCCCTTTGAGGAGTCCAGGCCTTTGTTAGGTGTTCCGAGCAACCCTCTGAAGGCTGGGGCAGGGCAACAGGATGGAGAGAATTCTATGGAGGCACAGAAAGAGAAGACTGCAAAACACCCAACAAATATCCATCAAAGGACATAAAATTCATATGGAATACTAGTCAGCAATAAACAATAAACTACTGATAAAGCAACATGATGAATCTCAAGAACATTTTGTACAAAACAGTCTAAATGCAAAAAAAAAAAAAATGTATACAATCACAATGTGTTTCCATTTACATGAATTCCAAGGAAAGGCAAAACTAATATATGGTTAAATTGGAAAGTAATTGGCTCAGATAAAGGTAGAAATGGACAGGAAATGGGGGAAAAGGAACTTTCTGGGGTTATATAAATGTTCTTTGGCTTTGACAATAGTTAAAAGGTTTCATGCAACTGCCCAAACTCATTTAATTGAACAGTTAGGATTTTCAACTTATTATATGTAACAGTGCTTCAATAAAAAATTAAAAAATCATACTTAGAAAAAGTATTATATGAACTTTTTTTTCTCATCACATTACTTCATCTTCCAGCCTGGAGGTTCCTGTTTATATTGGATTTTCATTAATTACTGACACTCAATACTTCATACTTTTATAATTCAACAATAGGTCATAAATTCAGTTCATTAGTTTGGGGCCCTATTTGATGATGATATTCTATAATTCCCATTAATATTCAGAGATAGACTCTAAATTCCTATTATATAGAAGACTAGTAGCCCTGCACACGAATCCGTATGCCAGTAGCTTGCTGCCACCCTCCAGTAGCTCTCTGCCTGCTGTCCCGCCCTCCTGTTGCTCCCTCTGCCCCCCCTGCTCCTCCCTCATAGCTTGCTGCCCTGCCCCCTCCTGTAGCTCTCCACCACCTGCTTGTATCTCGCTGCCCCACCCTCCTGCTGATCCGTGATCCCATCGTTATGCGCAGTTGGTCACTATGCTTCACTGCATAAGGACCATTTGCATATTACATTTTTATTATATAGGATTTGCCTTTATCTGGCCTGCTATGTTCTTCTGTTGCCCAAACTGTTTTCCTGGATTTAGAACCTATTGCTTCTTCTGTCCATCAGACCTGTATGAGTGTTAATGCCTCTCTTGTGCCTGTGTATCCTTACCATTCATTGCACTATCTCTGTAATGCTGCTCCATGAGATAGAGCACATGTGTCAAACATAAGGCCCCCGGGTCAAATCCGTCCCGCCAGGCTTTGCAATGTGGCCCGCACCGCACTGTCATCACTGCACTCCGCTGCGTTTCCATCACAATGACAGTTTATGACTGTACAGTAAACCATTCGGCCCGCGATTTAGGCTGGATTTTAGATTTTGGCCCCTTCTCTGATTGAGTTCGACACCCCTAAGATAGAGGATCATGTTGGTTTTGAATACTATAAATTTGAAAGAAATTACTTTCATGAAAAGTAAATTAAAATAATGAGAGTGAATAATAAGTAGAAGTGACACTTTGACTCTGTATTTATTATTTTATAATAATTCTTCATTGTTGAAAGTATTACATATGTCTCCTTTTCCCCCCACTAGCCTGCCCCCCCCCCCCCAGGCCTTCAGCACCCTATTGTCTGTGTCCATGGGTTATATGTGCATACAAGGTCTTTGGTTGATCACTTCCACCCACCCACTTTCCCCTATCTTCCCTCTGAGATCGGCACTCTATTCCATGCTTCCATATCTCTGATCCACTCCATTCATTAGTTTATTTTGTTACTTAGATTCCACATATGAGTACAATCATGTGATACTTGGCTTTCTTTGACTGACTTATTTCACTTAGCATCATCCTCTCCAGGTCCCTCCATGCGGTCTCAAAGAGTAAGAGATCTTTCTTTTTTAGTGCTGCAGAGTATTCCATGGTATAAATGTACCAAATATTGTTTATCCACTCATATACTGATGGGCACTTGGGCTGTTTCCAGCTATTGTAAATTGTGCTGCTATCAATATAGGGGTGCATACATCCTTTCTGATTGGTGTTTCAGATTTCTTAGGATATATTCCTAGAAATGGGATCACAGGGTCAAATGGCAGTTCCATATTTAATTTTTTGAGGAAATTCCATACTGTTTTTCATAATGGCTGCACCAGTCTGCATTCCCACCAGCAATGTACTAGAGTCCCTTTTATCCACATCTTCACCAGCATTTATCATTTGTTGATTTGTTGATGGTAGTCTGACTCTGTATTTGAGTGGATGCATTTTCTCTTGTACACCTGCTCTGAGCTTATCCTAAACAACTTGGATAAAACATTTAAATTTAATACAAAATCATTGTGTATTATATATTTTAAACTCTCTTTCATATTTACCATTAGTTATTTTATAATTTATTTATAGGATCTTATTGGGCAGAGATTGAGAAGAGAAAGAAAATAGGCATAGTAGGTAAATGACCAGAATTTTGAAACAGACTATAGATATTGAGTCCTATAAACCAACAGTTGACAGTGACTTTAAAGAGCTGACATGAGATGATGGCAGCACCATACCATTTGCCCTTTATTCTAGAGAAGGAGTTAGAGAATATTGTCAAGTACTAGAAAAAAAGAAATGAGAATTATGTCCTGCAGGGCTGGCTAGTTAATCCCACACAAGTGTGCCCTTTTGTTGTTCACCTGGTCACATTTGTTGTAGCTTTTAGCCCCTCAGGATCTGACCCTGGACGTCTGGGTTTGAGTATTTACTAGGATGACTGTTTATTTATCAGATACTGA